TAGGCAGTCGGGCTTCTTCAAGGCAATTCTTTATCTACATCCAGCTCACACCTAAATTCAGGTCATCTGAGCCAGAAGATCCCTGCTACATTTCCTTGTGTTTGTTTAGTAGTCTACTATTTATTTAAAAAATTGTTTTGAATAGATTGCCTTCTTTAAATCTCTCAAGAATCTCATGTTAGAGACAGTTTTATTGTTTTTCTTTTTAAAAAGAGGAAAATTGGATTTAGTGAGATTAAGTGTTTTTCTCTAAGTTAAGAGCTGTTAAGTGCTAACTGGATCTCAAACTCAGGTCATCTCACTACAAATCCTTGCTTCTGGCCCTACACAACAACTGTAGGATCCTGATTTATATTTCACTTTCACACAGAGTATATTATTCATAATAGCTACTCAATAAATAATTATTGGCTTATTTATCACATTTGCATAGGCCAGACCATATGTTTTGGAACTAGTTGAGAAGGCAGGAACTTGGAGATCACATATGAATTTTACCAGGTACACTCATACCTAATCAAATATAATCAGAAGCCAGAAGGTCTCTGAATTATTCTATGTAAGCATCCTGCTATTAGTGATGCTGTGATTGTCTAAGGGGCAGAGGGGAAAACATACTATAAGCCGATATGAAGGAGATAAAAGTATTAACAAACTGAAATTCCAACTTTGTCTTTCCTTCCAGTAAGTTTAGAGCAGCCTTCCCTACTTAGCCACACCCATCTCCTTTCACTTTTTTGCCACTTACCAGAAAGTAAGGATTTCTGTGGTTTTCCCTGGCAGAGTTAAAATAATGGGCAAAGAACAACCCACTCATAGAGGCAGAAGGAAAGGGAGAAGGGTAGAAAGAATGAGAGTCAGAAAGGAGTGGGAGGTGGGAATCTTACAAAAACAATTTGGAGGAAGTAACTCAGAAGATTGTTCATGGCAAGAATGAGATGTGTTGATAATGCATCTAGCAGGAGAATATAATATGGATAAAATAGTTCTCTGGGATAAGGCAGCAAAAGATTCCAGAGGCTTAACAATACCAAGAATTAGAAAAATTCATGGAGCTTTTAAGAAGAATAACTATGAACTAGGTATTTCCATCCCCATCAGATGTTTATTCTGGAGATTTAAATAGCTATAGAAATTCCTAGTTGAACTATATTTCTTTGAAAGCAAAGTAAGTTTATAACAACATGGGTGCCCAGATTTAAGAATGTTATACTGAGTCAGGTTAATATATATCAAGTGACTGAAAAATATGAGCTATCCTGCCTTTCTGTTGGTCACAGTATCTGTCATTATAGTACCTTCACAGGGATCACCAGTATTTTCCCTTTCTAAATTGTATTTTTAGTTGTAGCTATTTTCAGTATAAGGGTAGATAAAATTTTGCATGTTGAAGTCAACAATCTCAAGCCAAGACATAATGCGTGAATTAATGCCATTATTCTCAGGTTAAAAAATAATGGTGTCTTAGTTTTGAAATTACAAAGAGTAATGTCATACTTTAAATCTTATATATGAAACCATTTCTTTTCTTATAATTAAACAAAAGGGCAGCATTTATTTTTTCATCCAATTTTGCCTCATGAGCTTTGTCTTTCCACTTCTCCCACTTGTCTTCCCACTCCAAATATTGAGTATGAATGTGGGGCCACTGATTCAATTATTTCAGTGTCAAATTGTTTGCTTCAGCTGTCATAATGGCTAACTATATGGCAATTTATTGGATTAAAAACACATGACATCAAAATTAATAGAATGTGCCTGATCTGTCATTCACCTATTTACTATACATGACAAACAATTGATCTGTTAGGCCATCAGAATAGCTCTAGCCCACCTTCAAATTCAACTAATCTTATACAGAATAACCTGTTTTACTTAAAAAACACACTGAGCTGAAATTCACTCTTGCTGCCATTTCTGCTCTGCTATTCCAAAAGCCTTTCAATTAAACAACACACACACACACGCACACACACAGAATTTGCCTTAAGAGAGAAATTACTGTATAGCTAAGAGAAAATTATTTTAATTTTATATAAAATTTTAAAAGGGATAATTTATCTCTGTCTTCACTAATCAAATCTCAAATTTGTAAAATGTAAGTACCTTTTCTGTTAGTGATAAGTGCGTTAGTGGGAGAATTGGATGGCAGTGGTTGGAACTCAAAACATTTTGTTTGAATTCTATGTCATTGTATACAGACTCTATGTATTTTAATTCTTATAACTTTTCCAAATGCCAACATTTAGAAATAAAATTGTCCATACTTTAGGTAGGTTTGCAAGTTTATTTATTAAAAGCCCCCAAAATACCTTTTCATCTAGTTTTGTTACACAATATGAACAAGGTATCCTTGTTTCACTTTCCAAGAAATTTATTTCTGATGCCACCTAACTCAGAAGTAATTCTAAGTAATTTTATAAAATAACAATACACAATTTCCACTAGACTTAGAGTCATAAAATCATTATTATTACTGTGAAGTTTCATAACAATTTAGTTTGGACTTGAATACTTGTGTGGGGGATATATTGTCCATGATATCTATAGTCATCTGGTTCAGTTCCAACAGGAAAGGGAAATAATAGAATTGAAGTTCAAGAAAAATCATTAACAGTATAGGAAAAAACAAATAAATTATACATGAGAAGAAAGAAACAGTATTTTACAAGCTACACAAATCACAGTTCTGTTAGACATTCTGTTGCTCTAAAGCTCACAATTGCCTGTAGAATCACAAGCAAACTCCTTAGTAATGTCAAGTGTAAACATAGCGGTTCACACTTGATTTTCATTGCTCCTCCTCAAGCAACTTATATTCCCCTTCTGTCCCGCTTATAATGGACTCCATGTCACACCAAAACTCCTGCATTTTTTCCACCTTGATGCTTTTTCTCTTGCCATTTTCCTTTCTAGAATGCAGCAATTCTATCACACTATTCCTGTCCTTCTCCACTGCAGTGCAGTCGAATGCATCTTTTCTCCTCTATGACGTCTTCCTTGATTCAGCCAGAAAAAATCTCATTGATATATTCTGACAGAATTTTGTGGTTTTCTATTCTTATTCATCATATTCTAGCTTTTATTATGGTTGTGCACCTTACTTTTTTTTAATAGATTCTAGAATCCTTAAGAGTGGAGAAGATGCTTTATTCATTCTTGTATCTCCCCTTAATCCCAGCACAATACCATACTGATAGTAGGAGATGAAGAAATATTTGTTTCATTCAACTGAACTGAATTTACACTAACTCCTTAGGGAACCCAATAACCACGATTAAAAAGTTTTAGTGTATTCAATAGACTTTTCTCTCCTCCCCACCCCTTTAAGTATATTTGGGAAATATAAAACCTCTAAAGAAAAATTAAAGGTTTTAAAATTAGTCATGAGCATATTTCTCAAAATGTTATGATTAAATGTTGAAGTAGATAGAAAGATAAACTGGAGTCTGCTTGTGTGTTCCTAAGAATACACATTGGATGTGATTATGAAAAATTACTAGGTAGATGGCTTTGAGGCTAATAATTTCACAAGTTATTTAAATTGTCTGTCATTTAGAAGTGGCAGACCTTAGTGTTCCTTCCACCTTGACTGAACTTAAGGCTTTTATCTGAAGGAGCTCTTCAATCTGAAGAGACAAAGTTGTATAACTTTCTTAATAACCACCTGGTACCTGGTAGTGAACTGTGTTCTTCCACTGGGACAAATGCCTTCTAATATTTTCTAATATTTTATATATTCCTGGTCAATAAATAAAAAAAAAAAAAAAAAAAAAAACCTACCCAATTGCAGTCTGCCATTCAAAAGGAATATTTCTGCAAAGAAAAAGATGTGAAAATGTAGGCATTCAAGTGAAAATTCAATCCTTCACAGTACAGAGCCTCTGCGAAGTCTTTTAAATGACCCTTTTTATCATGGTGCCATGTCTGTACCTTTCTGAATAGTGAAACCTGGTAAGAAAAATAGATGTATGTATACAAGTGGTTGAGTAATGTATTACTCATATGCACTTTGTTCTTTTTGGCAAACTGACCTTATCAAAGGAAAGAAAGCTATACATTGTGACAAGCTGAGCTTTACCAGAAAGTCTGAATTAGGAATGCAAGTCCTCTGTTATCTGGATTAAAATGTGATCGGGGGAAAAAAAAAAAAAATCATTATTTAACCTCTTCAGAAGTGGAGATGCTGGAAAATTGACTTCCTTTAAATCAAAACCTAAGCTTTCTTATTACATTTGGACTTAGCAATCAGATATGATTTGCATTAAAACAATCATATTTTTTCCTATAAATATTTGTCCACTTTTTGATGTTCAAATAAACAGTGTTAGATTGTTTGATTGTCTATACTTTACAGAGGACTATTATAAGAGGTTGGTGATGAAATATTCTTCATTAGTTTCTCCAGGACAAATGCTGTGTCTTATTTTTTACCTCTGTAGATGACATTTAAATAAAAAATTAAATTTTTGAATTAATATTGTATGGTAATTAGAAGGCCTTAATAATTATTTTAGAAGCACGCCCATTCCTGGAACTATTTTAAAAAAATATTTCCTCATGCTTATTTAACCCATTTTAGTGAAAATATTAAATTATTTTAAAAATTAGTGAAGGAATAATGAATCCAATTCGTTCCTTTAAAAATAAACAGAGACATGGAATTCAAACTTGCTCATCCGCAGATCTTTTTCCTTTGTAATAAGCAACCTCTTTGCAAATGAGTACATAAAGATGGACAAAATAATCTGGAATGGATAAAGCCAAGAGGAAAAAAAAAAAAAAATTTACATAACACAAAGGCACATAAAACTATTGGTATTTAATTCACAGTAAAAGACTGTGTGTTGCTGCTGCCCAGTTACTGTGCATGTGAATTCACCAGATCTGGACGTATTTGCCCAATTAATTACTCTGCTGTTCGACAATGATGGGTAATGGTCCAAGCAGCCTGCTCCTCCTCAGATCACCGATGGAATTCATGCACGCATAATGTCCTCTCTTCAGAAAATGATCCCAACAAGCTCTATAATTATTTTTTTTTTCTTTTGAAATAAAGGCATCCGTTCAATTATATGTTAAAACAGTTTGTGGGAGAAGAAATGGAAATGAAGCAGGATCTCTCTCTCACTACCTTTCTGGGGAGAAAGCTGGAAGATGAACTTCCCCATTCTACTCTTTCCAGGAGCGAACTTCGATATTAAAAAAAATAATTGCTGATCAAAATTGTTCATCATTACCCTTAATTAGTCTGTTGGTTTTCAGTAGTTTTCTTCATTAATACAGATGAAGGTGTGTTCTTCCACGTTCAACGATACATGCTATCCCTCCGTGCTGGTAAGCTTATGATGTAGCAGATCAAACAAAGAACCCTCGTGTACAAATGCACAGCAGTCCCGGTAAACTGGGCTAATTAGCATTGTAATTAGCTCACGTGATAACTAAAACAAAGTCAGAGTAACACAGGAATCACTTAGAAAGGATATCAAGTGGTGTCGTCCCCCTTCACCCGCCAGCCCTCCCGCCCTTGTTTCTAATGCTGGGTAGAGCCCGGAGTCAACCTCCTTCCCAGCTCCCCACTCCCCAGCTCCCCAGCTCCCCACCTCCTGGTGGTGCAAGCCAAGTTCTCTGCCCAGGCCTGGAAGTTAAGGTATGCGCAGGGCTTGCCTGAGGTTGCCGTTGCGATGTTGTTGGGATATCAGTGTAGTGCTCTAAATGTTGCCAGTTAAAGGAAGCTTACAAAAAAGATCTTCCCCCTTTGGCTTTGCTGGAATTGGCTGACACAGTTCGCTTTATAAGCATGAGAACTAGAAGCAAGAATGGAGACTTGGGCTTCCTTTCACGTAGATTTACCAGCTTACTTAGGAGTAAATGCTAAGTATAATTTGCGGAGTTCTACTCACACACTTCTACACCAACGTGACTTATAAAACAGAAATCCCTAAATGGGGCCCACATGCCTAAATGGTTTTCTTTGGCATTTTACAACGTAATAATAATAGCTAAGGCATCTCACTATTTGATGTGGGATTCTTTCTAATTGTATCCAATTATGAAAAAAGTTCCAAGGCTTTATTCAGAGGAAGTGAGGGCAGAGATCATCAATGAAAATCAAAAAGAAAAATGACCACCGTAGGGGGAAAAAAGTCAATAATTGGGATAGCACTAATCCATTCTTTAAATAACTTTGTGTCACTTAAGATTAATGTGTTTTCACTCTTTACTATATTTGATCCTTACAACTACCCCACAAAAGAGATACAGAAAGTATTTTAGTTCCCATTTTACAGAACAGAAAATGGCCTCAGTTGTTCTGAGTGGCAGAGAATGTAATCAGCAGACGGCATCATCCTCAGGGTTCTAGTTCAGTGAGGGTTCCATTACACCAAACTGACTGTGCTTAAGGCTTTCGTTTCTCTTAAAGTCAGCGAGACTGGGGAAGTTGGTCTTTTTTTTTTTTTTTTTTTTTAATTATTCTTGGTTTAACTTAAACTCAGTCATTATTTCTAATTTAAACTGTCTTATTTTAAATAGTTTTTAGTTAAAGCTATATTTAAGCCCATTTCAGCACAAAAATATCAACCATTATTGAAAAAATTAAATCCATAAGAAAAATATTTTCAAAAAATTCCAATTAGAATCTATATACAAGGTGAGGAAACTGTCAGAGCTGTTAGTAAATGCAAATCATAGGGGCTAATTTTATTATAATACATTTAGCATCATATAAAATCAGTATCTCTGAGTCATGGTACATCGACATCTTTCTAGTGACAAGAATAGGATTTCCTAAAGCTCTCAAATACTGCAGTCTCTTTTTCTAATACCTGTGTTTCATGCATATTTTGGAGAATTTGATGTGTATGATAATTGGTATACTTTAAAAGTATATTCATGTGATTAACATGCATGAAAAGATATCAATTTTGACCTAACTGATGAATCGATGGTCATTAGGTCTATTTTCACCTCAATTTAGTCTGTTTTATAGAATCTGATCAATTAGTTTCCAGAACAGCAGATCCAGTACTATATTAGATGTAGCTTAAGTGGCAGGATTAGACTGTTGATCCTCAGGATTGATGGTGAAAGCTTGGTAAATATTCATAAAATGTTATTTGAGATTTCCTAACGATTAATCTGAAAGAAAGAAATGGATACAATATTAGCAAAATCTTATATTTATATCCTGTGTAGTATATGAATAATTTTAATAGAGATGCAAGTTGTTTTTGGTATTTGCCACAAAATTAAGTATAAATAAGCTTGCTCCAATCATAAAATAAAAATAAGGAACCTAAAGATAGGCATTTGGAGTGTCTATTGGGAATTAGCCGATCCACACACACACACACACACACACACAAAAGGTGTATTCTCTGCTTATACTCTCTTGTCTTCTTTTATCAAAAGATTGTGGGAAACTGCAATTTGGGGTGCATTGGCTATTATTCAATAAGCTTAATTTTGATATAAGAACATAGGAATAAGTGGGCAGAAGGGTTATCAATGGTAAGTGAAGTTAAGACTGATGCAATAGACTTCCCTCCCCAGTCTCCAGATTTAATTTGTGTTAGAAATGGAGAAAGGAAAATTGCAATACAGACTTCTTTTTAATTTTCATCCTGAAAAATAATTTTGAGCAAGGTTTTTACATAATTTTGAAACTTAAATAAAAAAGGCACAGACACAGGCACCAATTTTCAAAACAGGAGAGAAGAGCATAACCTGGCAGTGTGGAGCGGAATATGATATCCTGTACTTACCAAATGAGCGTGAAAGTCACATTTGACAGATCAGTACAATGGAGTAATATTTTTTAGGAAAAAATCAAGGATGAAATAAAATACAATTATTGCAAGTTGAGATATAAAAATGTGTCCATCTTTGTGGGGCAAACTAAAATTACAAAACAGTTCACAAACATAAATACAAAGTAGCAATATTATATATCCAAAGTAATCTATTACATTCATTTTATCATACTGCTGTTTTTATTTTATTATATTATTATTGCACTTCTTCATGATAGTGCATTCATTATCTGCGTTTTCTTTCATTCTCTACATCTGGGTTCTAAGGGGGGGCTTCCTGAACTCGTGAAATTGCATGCAGATTTTAGTGTGTGTGTGCAACAGTATTGTACATTTGTGAGAAGAGGACCCATAGTTTTTGTGAGATAGACTAGGAAGCCCATGACCCCAAGTAATTAAGATCCAATATCCCAATGATTTTTTATCTTTAAAATTTCTCTGTGCAGACTTTCAGTGCTTCATACACCAACAATGCCAGTAACCTCCCAGCTGCCTTCCCACCCTCCTGCCTCCTTTCTGCAACTCACACTCTATAACAAATGCCACCAGATCAATCTTAGTGAAACATCATCTACATCATGTCTCAAATCCACTAAAAAACAAATTAAAAAAAAACAATGATAGCTTTCATTTTACTTACAAGGTCAAATTCTGACTTCTCATTTTGGCATTCAAATCCATTTCATATCGGGTTCTCCACCACCTCTACTGATAGTAGCCGACATTTACAGAGTGGCACTAATGTGCTAGGAACTGTGCTACGTGTCCTACATCAATGGACTCACAAAATCTCCCAAATTGCTCTGTAAGATGCTTGGAGATTTCAGAGGTACAATCATCAGCTAGTAGGTGATAGATACAGAATTCAAACCAAGGCAGTTTGACCCTGTATGAGATTTCAGCCATGATTTCTCTGGCTTACTTAATTTACTTCTTGCCAGTATGAACCTTCCTCTCTGGACAACTGAGAATCCTCACTGTCAACTGAATAAAGCATATTTCTGACCTCAAGCCTTTTTCATACTTCGCCTTCCCCATTCTCCAAGGTTGTACTCAAGTCTCACCTTTAGAATGAATAATGCATTCATTAGCTCTTCTGTCTTGAAACCGTAACATCCATAACATTCATTCAACCACATCCCTGTGTTACTAATATACAATTTTGCATTACGAATTTTCTCTAACTGGACAGTAAGTGACTGGTGGGCAGGGTTTTCATCTTGCATTTTTTGTTCTCTCATCTTTAGCACATAGATCAGTGCTGTTCATGAAGTTTGCATTTGAAAAATACTTATTGAGGGATTAAATTAACCTGAACTTCTAGAGAGTGTCATGTTTGAAAAATGATACTGTAATTAGTTCTCTAACATTCTATTATGTCTTGATAAAAGCTTCTGTGTATGGTGGCAGGTGGGCTTATGAGCTATTGTTACCATGCTGAAACTGGCTTCCTATGTTGTCTCAGTTTGCCTGGAGTAAATCTGATAGACATTAAAAAGAAACTGCCAAAGTGAGTGCCCCTGTGTGTGCATGTAGGGTGAGTGGAAGGGAATATACATTTTCATGTAAAAATGATACAAAATTACAAGAAATTTTAATGCAAATTTTTCCTTTAAATGAATTTCAGTGCTTACTGGGTTAGCTCACTCTCAAGACAAGGATCAATTTAGTGAAGAATCTCTCCCTGATACAGAGTCAGAACTTCAGCTCAAAGTAGGTCAAGAAAATTCCAAGGATTCAGATTACAAGGCAGTTCTTGGGAGTGGTTAGACCCTTAGTTCTTTTAATACTTCTTGGAGCTATGTGGAGTAGTACAAGTTTCCAGTACTGGGGCCAATGTTAGGGTGTCTCTTCATATCTCTTGGGCACTGATCCTTTCTCACCATCAGACACTCCAGCATCAACTGTCAGAAAGACAAGGAAGAAAGGGATACATCCATATGCTTGAGAAACCAATTCTCTCAGCTAGGCAGAACTGTCTACATTGAAACTCTTTGTTTTCTTCTCTTATATACACAGAACGCCTTGTGTCTAGTGAAAACACATATTACTCATTTTATTATCCAACCTTTAGAAAAGTGTAATATGGAAGATATTTTGTATAATAAATCATATTATAGTTGATCTGAGTAATTATATACATACAGATGTGCAAGTTTATAATAGAATGCTTTTACTATCTTAAAAATCCTTTTGAAATGTCTAAAAGTAACTCATTTTGAAGCATCTAGTCATTCAGTGGATAACACCCAGGGCTTGGATGCATCACTATAAATGACTCAGCTTTCCTTTTAATAGTTTAAAATGCAGGGCTTGGACTAAATCAGGAATCACTTACATGCTTACAGACAGAAGGCAGATAATGAATGCCTGAAGTAGGCTTGGAAGAAATCTCTCTAAGAAGTACTGAGGACTGCGGCAAATTGGAGAAAGTATGCCCTGTCTAAAGAGAATGGCAAATGTTCAGTCCCAGGTGATTTTATCCTGCAAGAAAGAAAACCCACTGTTACAAAACCTTCTGGTTTTTCATGAGAAGCAAGGTTTTTAAAAAATGTGAAATGCCCTGGGTTTTGAATTAAGAAAAAAAATCTGCTTTTGAAAACTGGGCAGGCCAAACAAAGCATATGCGAGAATGGGTTCTGGCCTAGAAGTTACGAGTTTGTTGCTGCAAACTAGATGATCTATGCCTGTTTTTTTGACCCATGTAATGTGTAGTTATATATGCAACTATTTCTCAAGTATACTGTCTCAAAAATGCCTTAAAATTGAAAGTATTCAGTTGACAAAAGCGTGGCTGAATTAAGAACATTTCCTCCTAGACTCTCTATTAAAAACACTGGAAGATGGAGGAATAGGAATAGTTATACTGTACTGTAGCGTCAGCAAAACTTTTCATTCTGGTCTTCATGTTGTTCTCACCTATAAACTCTGGTTAAGATGAACTCTGGTTAAAAATTTCCAAATGAATATAATATTGTACCTGGAGAAAGGGTCCCAGGAAAAGGTTATCAGACTCTGGACCAACCCTGAAAATGTTAAACAAATAATATTCTGTGAGAATTAGTCTTGACCTCATCTTGTTTCACAATATCTGACTGACTTATTTTTTTATTTATTTATATTTTATTTTATTATTATTATTATTATTATTATTATTATTATTATTTTTGAGATGAAGTCTCGCCCTGCCGCCGACGCTGGAGTGCAATGGCATGATCTAGGCTCACTGCAAACCCCGCCTCCCGGGTTCAAGTGATTCTCTCACCTCAGTCTTCTGAGTAGCTGGGATTACAGGCATGTGCCACCATGCCTGGCTAATTTTTTGTGTCCCTAGTGGAGACAGGGGTTCTCCATGTTGGTCAGGCTGGTCTCGAACTCCTGACCTCATGATCTGTCCCCCTTGGCCTCCCAAAGTGCTGGGATTACAGGCGTCAGCCACCGCGCTGGCCCACTGACTTACATGATAGAATGGCATGTTGCTCCTTATTCTAAGATTGGAACTGGACTTGATGAGCTGCCATCTGCCTGGCTCAGTCTTAACTGCTGAACAGGGTAGTTCCTCTTTGGAGCATTCTGCTAGGTACCTTAGAATGATATCATGGAAAATGTAAAGAAATGAAA